CTCTCTCTCTCTCTCTCTCTCTCTCTCTTTCTCTCTCTCTCACGCAACGCTCACTCAATCCATTAATCTCTTAAATCATTTACTTATTTATTACTTCAATCACTCATCCGTTAATCCGTTTATTTTTCTATTAATCCAATTATTTGTGAATTAATCAGTTCATGAATGTATTCATTAATCCATTCTCTCATCCGTTTACCCAAACGCTTATCCATCTATAACTCTATCCACTTATCCATTAATTTATTCATTAATGAAATGACTTGTGAATCGATTGACTAATGGCTAATCCGTGTCCTAAATCCGGTGTATAGTATCGGTTATCCAGTGGTGACGTTGGGGTTCGGCTTCAAGTCGTACGTCTCGTACCGCATGAGGTTAAGGAAGCAGAAAGAAGTGGCCAAAGAGAACGAGTTCTATGTGGAACTCCTCCAGAAAGCCTTACCCCAGGAGGTGCCGGCGCCCCCACCCGCCCCCAGCTTACCGCCGGACACTGAGCTCATGCAGACGTCCGCCAATGGCGTCAATCATTGCGCGCCTAATCATCAAAAGAAGTCGAGTATTAGTTCAACAAATTCGGACAAATCGTTGATTATTAGCAACGGTTCGGCGAATAAATTAATTTGTGATTACGACTCATCCACCAAGAAGTCCATTCCCAATGGCATCGACAGGTCTGTACTTCAATTGTCTTTCGGTTTCTTATCGTTTTTAGATTTTCCCATTTGTTGTCACAAAGTGTGTTCAATAGTGTTATTGATTTTTGATTGATTACTGCTATGTATCTGTCATTTGAATATTTATAGCATTCAAATATTTGGCTAATAGTTAATGCTTATAATTATGATAGTTTTTATTGATTTTATCACTATTTAATATATTTTCACCTGTGTACTTTTAATAATTTATTGCTAGAATGAGATATGTTTTTAAAAAGTAATGTAGAATTAGAGCATTAATTCTTATACAGTACCTGGTACTGTATAATAGGTAGTGGCGATTGTAACTATTTTTAAGTTTTGAAAAATATACCATAGTTTAAGATTTAGTTGACCCTGATCCTATTCCTATTGTGTGTATTACCGGTAACCTTACTATAGTTGCTGACCAGTGGATGTATGAATTGACATTTGATTGGTGTTTGTGTTTCTCATATAGACATGAATTACAATATATGGAGCATCAGATCATTAAGAAAATATCATCGCTTAACCACTTCGACAATAACGACGACAATGGCGTCGACGACATCGTAGAGCATAACAACACCACTAATAA